CCAACAGTCCCCTCCCGGAACTCGCTGCTACAAACTGGGCGAAGGACCCRAAGAAGCATCTCTCTAGAGAAGAGACCAAGAGGCCCACAGGTTATGAAAAGGTGCTGGCCAACACTAGTTGTCAGGGAAATGCAAATCAAAACCACAGAGCTGGCACCTCACACCTGTTTGAATGGCTGCTCCTAAAATAACAAAAGACATCAAGGTTGGCCGGGGTGCAGACAAAAGGGGAGCCTTGTGCAGGCTGGGTGGGATGGAAATTCATGCAGCCATATGGAAAACAGGAGGGAGGTTCCTCAGACATTGAACCAGAACCCCTCCTGGGTGCAGATCCAAAGGAACTGAAACTGGCAGGTTGGAGGGACACCTGCTCTCTAGGGGGCACCCAGCAGACSGCAGAGGGACAGATAAGGAAAGCAGGCACAGCACACGAGGTGCCGTCCTTCGAGACGTGGCTGGACCTGAGGACACCACGCTAAGGGAATAAGCAGGCACAGAAGGACAATGCCGYGTGGTCCCACCTACGTGCGGAACCTGAAGCCAGTGCGTTCAGAAGCACAGGTGGTGCTTACAGGGCCTGGGGAGGACAGGTGAGGGTCAGAGGGACGGGGCTTGGGCTGTGCAGACCGCGGGGGCCGCAGGCAGCACTTCCTTTTTGCTAGGAGGGCCTTGCACGGTGCCCTCCCACACTCACAAATCACCATGGTGGCAGTGGCAGGGCTAGGAGGAAGCTGTGAGGAAGGGCTTGCCCCGGGAGTCAAGGAGGTGGGGCTGCACGGGAACATACTCATCCCAACTCGTCAAGTTGTACACTCTAGCTGGGCTGGGTTGTGGCTCAGTGCAGAGCACTTGCCTATCATGTGTGAGGCACTGGGTTCGATTCTCAGCACCGCATATAAATAAATGAATAAAATAAAGGTCCATCAACGTCTAAAAAAATATAAAAAAAAAAGTTGTACACATTAAACACATGGAGCTTTTCTTATGTCAACTGTACAAAAACATGGTTTAATAAAATAGATTACAGCCAGGCACAGTAGAGTACATCTGTAATCCCAGTGGCTCAGGAGGCCGAGCCTCAAGAACTTAGGCCCAATGCAACTCAGTGAGACCCTGTCTTTAAATAAAATTTAAAAGGGCGGGGCTGGGGATGTGACTCAGTGGTCAAGCACCCCTGGGTTCAAATTCCAGTACCCCAAAAACTAATTAATATAAAACAGACCACAGTCCTAGCTTACAACCAACTGAGGACGGCAGGGAGGGATGCCTTTGGCTGTAGAATGCGAACAAGCTCTAAAGGAGTGGATGCACTCTTCCAGCCCACACAGGTCGGCAAGAGCCCAGGGAGAACGATGAGGGGCAGCCAGTGAGGAACAGGCTGAGCCTGGGTCTTRCGGATGGCAAAGGCACCCTCCCGCCCTGGGATTCCCAAGCCAGGTCATAATAGCCCTGGGCTGGGGCTCCCTGTTCTGCAGGCTGCCTGGAGCCATGTTGAGATCCTCACACAGAATCCTGAGGACCCCATGGCACCTACCGGCTGGCAGTGTTCTTGCCGAGTTGCCAGCAGGGGTCAGCTGGGAAATGGCTCCTCCAGCCCCCACCTAGCTTCAGAGGGCAGCACGCCTGAGTGACCTGAACACATCCTTGAGACCCTGACTCAGAACCAGAGATGCCTGCCAAGCGACCCAGCAGACAGGTGCCTGATGTGGGACAAGGTCAGGGTGCTCCCTCGACTGGTTACCAGTTCCAAGGGGACAGGTAGTAAGCATTCGATGGAGAGCCCTGGAAGACAGTCCCCTGGAAGATAGATTTTATGTACATACTTCAACACATTAAAGCTTGTTTCTAGTACCCCTAAGGATGAAATYCCCAAAACATAGCTTCCTTTTAATTCCATACACTTTAACAGTTGACCAAGGCAGATGTAACAGGTGGGGTAAACTGAGACACACTAAGGTGCAGCGGGAAGGGCGTCCAGCCTACCAGGAAAGGCAGGAAAGCCCAAGGGAGGTATTTGGCCTTCTATCCACAGCACTGAGTTGGTGACTACTCTGGCTACAGAAGCGAAAGCTCTTGTTCTTAGGAAATACACACAGAAGCACTTGGGGTGAAAGGATGTGATAACAGAACTCCCAAGTGATTCAGGAAAAAAAAACAACCAAAAAACTGCACAAAACTAAAAACAACACATTACCCCTGAACCTACTCACCTTCCTCCCGAGAGGATGAGGAATGTGTCCTGGGATCTATTGACCAGGTGTGTGCTGGCATCTTCTGTTTCGTCGAGTCTGAACCCTCCTCTGGCCCCTTCAAGAGCCCCGACCTGCCACAGGACCCCACAGCACCCCACCCGCGGTGTAGCCCTCCACACTGAGGCCAGCGACTGGCCTCTCCTCCTGCCAACTTGGGAGTGGAAGGAGTCGGYGGCCAGCTGACCGGGCTGATGGACACCCAGCTTTAAGGTAGGTAGCCATCTGCAGCTCAGCCGGGCCCACCCCACTTCACAAAGGGAAGAGGCCATCTGAATTAGTTTGCTGAATTATTTTTGTGAAAGAACATTAGAGTATTTTACATCTGTTTAGAATGAGTTCTAAATAACAAATGCTTTAAAAATAAAAACTATTTTAAATTTAGAGCAAGGTTACAACTATATAAACTTCCCCCCACCCTCCAGCAGTTACTATTTTCTCATTTGCTTTCTCTGAGGATGGGATGAAGAATGAATTTTCCCTCAACCACACAGCTAGGCAGACTTTTTTTTWAAAAAAATATTTATTTTAAAATTATAGGTGGATACAATCTTTATTTTTATGTGGTGCTGAGGATTGAACCAGTGCCTCACAACATGGTAGGCAAGCCCTCTACCTCTGACTTCTTAAAATGGAAAGATACAGACCTTAGTACACCAGCAAAGCTCTTCTCTCAAAATAAACATCTATATACACTTTGTAGAGGAGAAAAAATAGATTTTATGTACATACTTTAACACATTAAAGCTTGTTTCTGGTACCCCTAAGGATGAAATCCCCAAAACATAGCTTCCTTTTAATTCCATACACTTTAACAGTTGTCCACCTGCATTGCAAGAAATCCACAAATACACAGCTACACCAAGCACCGACTGTTCGAGTGCCTTGCAGTACTTTTCCAATGTAGCTGTCACTGTAATACATTTTCAAACCTACATATTTGAAAGTAATTCTGAATTTATAGTAGCTTTGGTCAGGGTGTATTTACTATCTACACTGAAGTACAATTACTGTCACGTGTAACCATATTATGATGTTAGAAAGTTCACATATTGTGGGCAATCTCCCATATAATGCAAAACTCAGGCAGGGAGAAAAGTCACCAAGAGTCCACCACACAGGAAGAGGCAGTTTTGCTTTGATAATAAAAGACAATATAGAAGCGCGATTCTTGACAGAAGTTTGTCTTCCTTACTGCCAGAAGCTCTCTGGTCCCTCTGACCGCTCTAGGAGTAGCCCTGGTCAGCACAGCTCCACTCCTGACCCCAGGGCCGGCCCCAGTGGCACGGATGACACACCCTGACCCACCTAAGCCAAGACGAGGCCTTTTCTGTTCAAAGCCCTGCACAAAGTGAAGGCTTCACTAACATGTCAACAGCTGCGGCCCTCTTCCTTGGTCACCCAAATTTGCGACCTGGTAGAAGGCACAGGGTTTTAATTAAGCCTCTGGCCAAAGGCTGGTTTCTGGATTGGGGCGGAGGCAGTGGAAGGACAGGAGGCCTGCGCAGTGTGAGCTCCGACCCCAGCACTGAGGTTCTCCAGGCTGCCCKCTCACTGCCGAGCTTACACCTTCAGGGCAGGGACATACGTGGAGACTTGAGATCTCGCATGATGACCCTGGAACGCTGATTGCGACAGAGCCACCCACACCAGACAAGAGTGCTCTGCAGAGGAGCCCGTGACCACCTGCCCAGATGACGGCACTCTTGCTGGGAAACAGGTTCTGACCCACGACGTCYACACTCACCCCAGTGGCTTTCTCAACAGCTGAAGATGAGGACGGCCAAGCCTGCAGCGTTTGAAAGGAGCAACTGTGAAACAATCCACACYTGTGCACCCTGGTGGCTGCTAGGCAGAGGACACTTCTCTTTCCCCAGATTCCCAAAGTTTCCTGCACTTGGTGAGGGGGACTGGACACRCCCTGTCAACTCCCTGCATGCGGTAACTGTTTAATTCGTATCCACATCTCCTAGGACCCAGGAGCAACAGCAAGCAGCACCCACMAAGTATCCAACAGCTACTTGGTGACTTTGGAGTTATTTAACAAAATACCGCAGCGATGCAGAACTGAAGAGTGGAGAGAGATATGAAACTGTGCAGAGTCCTCTCCGGTGTCAACACGTCAGGTGAGCAGCAATGGAAACCCACCCACACCACACTACACAAGGACACTCACGGTCTGGACATCAACCAACTTTTCAAAACCCAACTGCATTCACTGAGCAGGACAGGCCTTGGAGATCCTGAGGACACATCAGAATAATCAACTAGACCTCAATGAACTTTTAGCCAATTAAAAAAAAAAAAAAAAACAAAAAACCAGAAATGTATCATTTATAATCACTGCACCCTCTAGTGGCCCATTTTTATCTATTAAAAATTAAGACAACCTGTAATCCCAGCAACGTGGGAGGCTGAGCAGAAGGATCACAAGTTCAAGGCTAACCTCAGCAACATGTAAGACCTGTCTCAAAAAAATAAAAAGGGCTACAGATATGGCTGAACCCAGGTGGAGTGCCCCTGGGTTCAATCACCAGCATTAAAAAAACAAAACCAAAACACCACACCAGTCTCACTGCGAAGGGTGCACAGTTCAGAGCCTGCCCCTCCCTGCCTTTTCCTGCCACCCCCAATGCATCATCTGAAAGTTACTAAAAACACAAACAGGGCTGGGTTGTGCTCAGCAGTAGAGCGCTTGCCTAGCACATGTGAGGCCCTGGGTTYGATCCTCAGCACCACTTTAAAAAAATAATAAAGTTATAAAAAACACCAACACGATACAATCTTGGATTAAAAAAATCATCTCAATAAATAACATTTACAATGTGACAGACTGTGACATTAGCCCTCCCCCTCTTCGCTGAGCAGGACAGGCCTTAGAGATCCTGAGGACACCTGTGGGTCGGACATGCCTACATTCTCAGGGCAGCTTTGCCCTGCAAGGACCGCGTGGCAAGGCCTGCCCTCTCTCTCAGCACGCTGGCTTCCTCGGGACTCTGGTGGGCCTGCACGTTCTTCAGTAAGAAGTGGCCAATGAAGAGCTTCAGACCCTCTCGCAACATCCCCAGCTTTGGGTTCTCAGACACTCTGGAAGAGAATCAGACAGACGCGTGTCAGGACAGATCTCAACGCAGTCATAACCTAGTTCTGTTCCCTGTGGTGCTGGGAAGGAACCAGGGCCTCTTACACGCACAAAACCATCTCCCACCGAGCTAAACCCCCAGGCCTTCTCTTCCTTTTTATTTCTGTTTTTGCTCAGGCTGGCCTCAAAAGTCCTAGGCCCCAGGGATCGTCCTGCCTCCCAAGAAGCTGAACCCACAGTTGTACATCGCTGTGCCTGACTCTATGTAAAGCAGAATTTTCAATGAAGAACTTCAGGGCAGGAGGTGGCTCAGTGTTAGAACTGCATGCCCAGCACACACAAGGCCCTGGGCAAGAGCCCAGGACTGAGAAAACAACAAGCACTCTTAGATATCAGCTTAACATTAAGACTGACACGACTTATGTAGCTACACGTGAAGCACAATGCTGCTTCTGTAAACCAACCGGAATGAAAACATCTTTCTGTCCCTTTCTCATGTTTAATGAAACACCTGGGCACATACCTTGCAAAAATTAAACCCAGGTCTTCAACTTCTGTTTCCATTAACAGCATAGTCAACACTCGCCGTAGGAAGTGGACTCTGGGTTTGTCCAATTCGCTGAACTCAACCACCTACAGTCAGGAGACAGAAAAAAGTGACACTAGCTTAGCCAACTCTCCAGTGATCTGTAAACAGTGCTAATGAGTAGGCATTTGACCCTTCCTCACTGCCCACACACCCTGGTTTAAGAAGGTCTTTTAACTGCTAAAAATGAACAGCTGCTGGTAAGGAAGTGGTGCCATGGGGACCCTGCAGAGCTGGCAGGGGTGGCTGGTAAACCTGGCAGCACAACACAGCTTAGGGGGCCTACACTTCACAAGCCAGGAATGTAGTTTCTAGAACAGAAGCTTACTCTTGAGTGTGTTCCAGCAGGTACAAGAGGCTGGACACTGCAGCTTCTGCTTTATGGCTGTCTGTGTGGCATTCTGGTAGAGTCTGGACCACCCCTATCAACACCCCTCTATGTAGAGCTTAGGTCTAGGAAAGATGAACTCAGATATGCTTCCATCTTAGAAAACTATCAAAAACCCCAGAAATAATTTTAAATTTCAGCAGTGTAACAAATAAACGTACTAGACTTATACAGTGGAAGTAAGATCACACAGAAGATCAGAGAAGAGAACTATAGATATTAACATATATAAATTGCAAACTTAATTTTAAAAAAGAACTGTGGAAAGTCACAAGAGCAAGATGACCACACGGTTCTGCCCAGAGGGTAGATGATGTACTGGCTGTAGATGCACAGTCAGGGAGTACAAAACCAAAGAGGGCCCCTCAGCCAGGTGCAGTGGCACATGCCTGTAATCCCAGTGATATCAGAGGCCGAAGCAGGAGGATTGTAAGTCTGAGGCCAGCTTCCACAACTTAGCCAGACCCTGTCTCAAATAAAAAATAAAGAGCTGGGGAGTAGTTCAGCGGTAGAGTACCCCGGGTTCCAGTCCAGTATCAAAATAGAAAACAAGCAAAAAGAACACCAGTGGGAAGAGTGGAGGGCAGGGCTGGGAGCCAGGGAGAACCCAAGTTCTCCTGCCCACGAGTGAGCTTCCATTGCTCCTGTTCACCCGGGGCCACACCGACCCATTCTACACTGAGCCCGACTGGAGTAGGGAAGCGTAGATTTAGCTCAACGATGAGAAGATGTTATCTTAGTGTTCTAAATTACTCCAGTTCTTGGAATGGGGTGTGAAGACTGTACCCACACTTTCAGTGCAGTGGGAAACCCCACGTCCCACACCCTAGAGAGGCAGGCAGTTATGGGCAGACGCTCTGACCACGGTGGGGAGCACACCCACATACGCAGGGCACAGAGGACGACTTGTCTCTGCACCTCAACCAGCCCTGACCCTCAGGCTCTTCAAATGCTCAGAATTTTTTAGGGCACCCACACCCTGGTGGCTCCACTACCCAAGCCTTACTGGCCCACCTCAAATCCTGCCTTCTACAGGTAGGTCCACCATCTCCTCCAGAGGAACATCGGGCATCTATGTTTTTATGGCTCTGAAGTCCCAAACACAGAGTGGGGAACCTGCAGCTTTCTAACACCCTATTTTGCAGACCAGTACCTCTATGGGGTGCCAGTCTACTGAGCACTGACTGGTCCAGGATTTTAAGATTAATCTCAAACCCAGAAAAGATTTACTTAAGTTAGCAAGAAAACTGGAACCGAGCCCTAATGTTCTAGGTAAATTTATACTGTGTATACAATGATCACAACAATGAAACACTCTCCAGAATCTTGGAAAATTCATGCTTTACAAGTACAAAAAATAAGCAACTACACAGTGATTTTAAATTGCTTACAAACCTTCAAAATGGAAAGCGGAAGCGATTTTGTCTTCAACAAGTGTGCCACCAGATGAACCAAATTCAAGAAATTAGTGGCTGGCAAATTTTCTAAGTCCCGAAATTTATCCCATATGCTGAACTGGAAAGTCATCTAGTAACAGTTAATAAAAAGAAAAAAATTAAAATTCAACAATCAGTAGACTAAACCACTAAGATGCTCTCATTCACTTATTTTTAATATTCTGAAACTCAGGACTTTCTGTCCTTTCAAATGGTCAGGAGCTTGAAACAGCTTTACAGTCATCTTTTGGTTGTGGTTCTCCCCTGCATTTATGAGGCACTCGGTTGGATCCCCAGCACCAGCAAACCCTACCCCACCCCACCCCAGCAGATAAGCACTTTGAAGACAGCTCTTGACAAGTGACGTCAAGAGACTGGTGTGGTGTAAGCAACACCCAGCCTCCTAGTGCAGGTGGTCCCTCTACCCAGTACTTCTGGCTCCAAGAACTCATGTTTAGGATGTGAGCCAGACAGAATGCTGAGGAAAAGCATCAGGACACAGGTAACTGGCACCTTCTGACCAAGTTACCTGGAATCGCCTTTCATAGCTGCASAACTTGCTGGCCAAGAACGCATAGAAGGGATTGTATGTCTTCTCTTGCAAGCAGCAATCCATGAGCACATGGACCACCTCTCTCTCCTGCTGATCCTTCAGTCCCAGCCTGCAGCACAGAAACAGCCCAGCTAAGTCAGCACTCCACTTCCCTCTTCCACAGCCAAAGAGCCCACAGGTCCTTCCTGCCTGGAAGAGTGTGGTTAAAAGTGAGCCAGGAGGCGGGTGGCAGCAACCAGACACAAGCCAGAGGTTTGGCCCTCCCCAGTTTCTTTGGGCCTCATTTTTCTAGTGATGTGGTAAAGTTTGGGAGGACACAACAGGACTCGAGTTCTACCCCACCACAAAGCCCAGGACCCAAGTCCAACTGACACAAGCAGGACTCAAATGAAGCCAGGTCTTGCTAAGACAATGATTTCCCTCTTTCTTTCTTTCTTTTTGTAGCAGGGATTGAACTCAGGGGCACTCAACCACTGAGCCATACCCCCAGCTTATTTACAGACAGGATCTGTGTTACTTAGCACCTCGAAGTTGCTGAAGCTGGCTTTGAACTCGTGATCCTCCTGTCTCAGACTCCGGAGCCACTGGGATTACAAGCGTGTGCCACTGTGCCTGGCTCACTTTTTCATTTTTAAAATCCACAGTAAACTCCACCCTCTTCAGTGTACAGTCCTGTGGGTGCAGCTGTATAAGCCCCCAGAGTCAGGTAACTGCAACCACACTGGAAAAAGAATTCCATCGCCCCCACAACCCCACAGGCCTGTGCAGACAGCCATTCCCCAAGCTGYGGGCTACCACCAGTCTTTTTTCCAGTCCTCTAGTTCTGACTCTGCCAGAATGCCACACAAACAGCCACAAAGCAGGCGGGTGTCCAGCCTCTTGAACCTGGCAGAACACACTTAAGAGTCACCCATGCAGCTGTGGGACTGGTACTTTGCCCTCTGTAATAGTGAACTGTAAGGATCCCACCCACTGCAGCAAGGACCCCTGGTTTGTTCATCCTTTTCCCAGAGGGGCATGTGGGTTTTTTGGTAGTGGGGATGGAACCCAGGCTTCATGCACACTAGGCCACTGAGCCTCAACCCCAGGTCAGCCAATGACTGTGGTGAATAAAAATGGGGAAAAAACTCATTGTTAGATGAAGACTGACTAGGAAACACAGAGGTATGCTCAGGGTTCCCACCCCGACAAGCCACCCCAGTTTACAAAACCCCAACTATCAGAATACTAAAATGAGCCATTTCTCCCTGTATTGCATTATGAGTTTGAAGCATATAAAGAAAAATGAGTTAAACTGTTCACTTAATTGTTATCTGATAACTAAATACTTTGCATAAAGWATGCAAATGTTTTAAAAACCTGCTACAACAAATTATCACAGAACCATACTGGGACATTTTAAATGAGAAGCAAGAGGCAGCTTCAACATGAAGGCTCATAACACTTTAAGCAATCCATGACAACCAACAGCCGCCGAAGACAGTGGCTGACTACCAGATAGTGGCTACAAAGCCCTCAAATTGCAGCCTCCTACAGGGCTCCGCTGAGGATCTACCAGGGCACACTAGTAGGAATGAGTGGCTTGCCAGAGACATGTGGCCCACCCAGGTGAGAGGACAGTAACAAAATTCCAGCTTTTCAGTCCTCCAAACACAAACCCCACATTAAATTAATTCTTTYACAACTTCTAACTTGACAGGTCAAAACGTGCAAACAAATGCTTACTTGAGCAGCTTTTCAAAAGCATCCAAAAAATCCTCACTCGTCATCATCGTACAGAAGATGTTCCTCCTAACGTCAGTGTTCATTCTCTGCTTCCGAGCAAGATCCAACATCTTTGAGCTTATCTGAAAAAGGAAGGATTAGTGTGTGGGCCATACAAATGTCCTGAGAGCTGTTTCCTGAGAAATACCATGCCACCTTTGGTCGAGTGTGCTCCTAAAGTTTCTAAAGAACAACTTGTACAATTTTGTGGCTTCAGCTCAGTATAACTAAATTGCACGTGAATACCTGTAGGTAAATTCCAAATCTTTATTTCTGGGTCACCACAAAGGGAAAATGTGGCAGGATAAAAAGCCACTGGAGGAGAGAAGCACTGGATTTGGGAACTCTCAGGAGGGTGGGACATCAGCCTGAGCATCTCAGATCAAGTTCAGATATGGGAATCAAGGTCAAGTTCAGATATGGGAATCAAGGTCATCAGGTGTGCCAAGGGCCCAGGGCAGGAAAGGACACTGGGGACAAAGAAGGAGATCTGGATCAAACAGATGCTAGTAAATAATTTTTTCCACATTTATTTATTTATTTTGGGGGGGGGCGGGGTACCAGGGATTGAACTCAGGGGCACTTGACCACTGATCCACATCCCAGCCCTATTTTGTACTTTATTAGAGACAGGATCTCACTGAGTTGCTTAGCACTTCACTAAATTGCTGAGGCTGGCTTTGAACTCGCCATCCTCCTGCCTCTGCCTCCCGAGCATTTGGGCTTACAGGTGTGTGCACCACACCCAGCTCCGACTCTAGCTAATAATGATAAATACAAATAAGTGGGAAGAAGTTTCATCCATGCTAATGGRCTGGAACCTACATCTCCTAGGATACAGAACACATCCCATTCTCAAGAATGGATATCTGCAAAGTCAGTCTTGATTTTCACACACTCCCTTCAACTCTTAGATCTTTTGCACAATGCGTTTTGGGACTCTTAAAATCCTTAAAAAAGAAACAACAAAAACTGAATTATATGTTTTGTTTTGTTTTCTGGAGCCAGGACCTTGCTATGTTGCCTAGGCTGGTTCAAGTGTTCTTCCCACCTCAGCTTCCACGAAGCTGGGACTACAGGCATGTGCCACATGCCTGAATTTAAATCATAACTTAACACTGGCAATTTGTATAAGGCCTTCAAATAAACCTAAGTGGCACACTTCCATAGCCATTCAGGAATAATCAGAACTACTCTAGCAGAGCTGGCACTTGGCACAGCAGGGTGCCCACAGTCAAGCACTGGGTCTCCATACCGTGCCCACAGGCGGCTTCTGCTGAAGTGCATGATGACTGTTGTCAATCATCGGAGTCCCGCTCCAAGCAGACCCCACAATCCACCAGCGCCCAGTTTGTTCTGCATTCAAAAGACCATCCCAAGAGATGCGAAGCTGAGTCTCAGAACCTGAGCTGGCATTGCGCACCTGATTAGAGAAAAAGGTTTAATGAGATGCTTTAATTGGTTCATAGTCTGTACTGTGATCACACTTTCTTTTTTTTGTACCAGGATTGAACCCTGGGGTGCTTAACCACTGAGCCACATCCCCAGCCCCCTTTTATCTTTTATTTAGAGACAGGATCTTGCTGAGTTGTTTAGGGCCTCTGTAAGTTGCTGAGAGTGGTTTTGAACTCGAGATCCTCCTGTATCAACCTCTTGAGCCACTGTGATTACAGGCGTGCACCACTGTGCCTGGCTCACTTTGGGTCTGCCACCCAAGCAACGTCTCTTAGGCACAGTCGTGACAACAGGCTCCTACTGCACAGCAAGCTGAGCACCTTGGGAGGACCAGCTACAGGGGCTGTGCAGGAGGGCGTGGGCCACTCACAGGGCAGCTTCTGTCTTCTTTCAGGCCCCAACTCACAAGTCCCGCTCCCTGTCCCAATGGGGCCGTGCTGCCCTGAGGCTCGGGGCAAGGCAGTAGGCAGCCACTCACCAGAGCTCGCTGCACCTTCCTCAGTCTCTCCACGGGCTCGGGATCATAGCCTGGAATTTTGCGCATGTCATTGTTCTTCAAGGCCAGCATCGTCTCCAGCATAAATCGAACCTTTAAGGAAAAGGAAGGGGAGAAATAAACCCAAAACCAAAATGAAATCTCCCATTATTTCAAGCAGTTTGAACATTCCTGGACATCCTCCCCTTGCTGGATTTTCAGCCTCTCCAGGACCACTGGGTGGCCTTTTAATCCTTATCAACTGGAAACAGTAACACACTTACAGGAAAGTTACAAGGACAGCACAGAGTCYGTCTACATACCTTCCTCAAATATTAACTCTTGATACAATCTCCACATCATAAAATCAACCTCTTTAAAATAAACAAGTAGGTGATTTCCGGTATATTCCAAGCTAGGCAACAATCACTTTAGAATCTGCATAATGCCCAGAAGAGGAATTCCAATCCCTCAATAGCCGCTGGCATTCCCCACCTCCCTGCCCAGGTGGCCACCTCTGCTGTCAGCTTTTGGGCATTAGCCAGCAAGAGTGTAATCTGCACTCCCTCCCACCCCACCCACTCCCCACTTAACCCCCTGCTACCTCTGCAGACATGCTGCCCCGGTGCACAAAGAGCAGCTAACAATAATGCTCCTCATCAGACAATGACCAAAATGAAAATCCAGTCCCTTTCCCTTCACCCCAACATCCCACCTAAAGAGTAAATTCTTCTTAAAAAAAAAAAAAAAAAGAGTAAATTCTTCTCAGGACTCGGGCCTCTGTGACCCACCCCCCAGTATCCTGCCACCTCGCCCACCAGCTCTTCCTCCTTCCTGCAGCTCCACACTGCTGCCTGTAACCACAGGGATCCCTTCACCCTAGTGGGGGATCCCACATACTCTCATGGCTTCCAGGATTCCTGGCATGAGGGTGACCCCAAATCCCCCCTGGCTCACTGCCCTTCGAGATGTGGATTCCTCCTGCACCTCCTCCCGTGCACCTGAAGGGGGCCCCCTGCCCTTACTTCCTTCAGCCCTGCTCCCCACTAAACTCGGCTGCTTCTGACTCCCAAGGCCACATCCACTGCCAGGGTGCCCATGTCACCACCATCTCCCAGACTCCTACAGCGTCCCCCCAATTCCTCCAGCCACTTCCCCTCTCTTCTACACTGTCACCAAAGTGACTCCTAAAACAACTTCCACCCCCGCAGTACCTGCTGAGAACCTCTGGGTCCTCCAGGAGGAAGGCCCCAGGCCCGCCCTCCTCTCCTCACTCCTGGTGGTGTCCCCAGGTCTAACACGGCCCTCTCCTTCCTCCTCAGCAATCCCGTCTTCTTCCCCTCAGGCGCATCAGGTGCTGCTCCCCACCCCTCACCACTGCAGGGGCAAAGCCGAGAGCCCCGAGTTATAGATGGGGAAACAGAGGCCCGCAAGACTCAGCCCTGCTGCTGCACAGGGGCTAGAGAAGGCTGAAAAGAGAAACCACTGAGGAAGGGAAGTGTCCTGTTTACCCCAGGGACTTACTGTTAAGCTCTGGTCAGTTTGTATGCTCTCGAGCACTCGGGAAGCAGGTCAAGTGGCACTCTTACCCTGGTCTGGTCCTGAAACATGCTGCCTGCGCCACTGGCTTTGGCCTGGGCATCTGTGATCAGCTCCTTCAGCGACAAGGCGTCATCTTTTCTCAAGGCAAAGCCCACATTTTTCAGCATCAACAGGATCAGCTCAATGTCTTTTTCGGTGAAAGTTGAAATAAGTTTCTTCAAAATGTCGAAGACGAGGAGAGACTGCACCACGTGGAAGTTGTACAGATGGGCGATGATGGTGAAAAGGTTATCACACTCTTTCCCTTCACCTCCATTTCTGTAGACCTCATCAAACTTCCTCACCACGGCCTCCAGAAAGCAAGCACCAACCTGAGCAGGACAACAGCAAGCGTGTCGCACATGTTCTGGGGACTTCTCCTTCAACACACTGAATAAGTGCCTACACACAGGCARGACATAAACTCCAACAGGGCAGCCTTCAGGAACTCAAGTATGGCTGCCCCACAAGAGCACACGGTAAGCAGCTGAGCAGCAACCTGTGCTGAAAGGTCTCCGCTTAAGGCCAAGTACAAAGTCGTAATTTGGGGGGGCAATGGCCATGCTGGTTCCTTGGAAAAATAAACTTGCTAAAAATGTGTTAAGACAGGTGTGGCGGCCATATCTGTCTTGGAAGATTGAAGTGAGAGAGGATCGCAAGTTCAAGGCCAGCCTGAGACCCTGTCTCAAAATAAAATTTAAAAAGGGATGGGACTATGGCTCAGTGGAAGAGTGCTGCTGGGTTCAATCCCCAGTACCTGCCCCCCACAAATGTTAAAACACAACTGTATCTCTAAAAATGCTCTACCACCTAGTAACACTCATTCTCAGAACTGCTTATTTCAAGTTAATGTCCTCTGAATAAGCAAGCAGTGTAAGTGAACTTTAAAGAAAACAGCACATTCTCAACAGATATCAAAGGTCCCCACAGGCAAGTGCTTCATCACCAGGAGGGTGCTAAAGGAAGGACAGGAGCTCTAATGGCTCAGCTCCACTCTCAGGGTCCAGATGAGGGTGTGCTGTTCTTTGGGGCACCCGGAAGTAGGCTGACCATCACAAAGAGGGGAGAGCACAAGGCCAAGAAGTAGCAGTGGCCTGGTGAAACAGGGCAAGCTCACCAGAGAGCCATCCTCTTGCTCTTCTGGCACATTCTAGTCCAGATTCCCTAAGTATGTCCTGGAGAAGGAAGGACTTCCATCTTGTCACTCTGTAAGACTGAGACCTAACTCAAAAATGGCAGCTGTCATCTTGCCATATTACTATCTTGTGTTTTCTCTCAAATCCCAACTCAAGTTGAGACCAGAGGAAGCAGATGGGAGCGGGGATGTGGTGGTGATCTCCAGTGACGCTGGCAATCCACAGGAGAGATGGCCTTACCAGGGCAGCCATGCTGGGTCAGAAAGGAAGGGCTGGGTGCCAGTGATCCCTAGGAACACTGGCAAGGTGTGGCAGGCCTGATCCGACACATCAGGTGTGTGTGATTTCCAGGCTTTCAATCTGGGTGACTTCTAAGCAAGTGGGGAGGAGGCTGGGAGCTGGACTGTCTGTGTGAGCTTACTACACTCTGACTGCAGGTCAGGCTGCAGACGTGCACAGGCGTGAAGGTCCGCRGGAGGAGGAACTCCAGCAGACTGCAGGGTGCGGTGGGAAAGCAGGCACGTCACGGCCGGGCTGCCGACTGCTCAATGCCAGAAGAGCCCAGCCACTGGCAGCAGGCAACAGAGGGTTCCCAGAAGCCAGCTCCCATAGGCTGGATGTGCCTTTTAGTTTTTAAAGCCTGAGATAAACACATTTAACCTGTAAACTCCCAACTCAAGTCCCTTCACCAAAGATGAATCTGAAAAATATAATCCCCTGGTATGACCATCATCTTATATTAAAAAACAATTAAAAAGAAATTAGGAGGCTGGGGCTGTAGCTCAGTGTCAGAGCGCTTGTCCAGCACGTGTGAGCATTCGAGGCACTGGGTTTGAGCCCCAACACTGCACAAAAAATAATTCCACTTAATGTGTTCAAAATTCATTTTTCTAGGGGCTGGGGCTGTAGCTCAGTGCTAGAGCACTTGCCTCAAATGTGTGAGGCACTGGGTTTGATCCTCAGCATCACATAAAAAATAAATATATTGTGTTCATCTACAACTAAAAAAACATTTCATTTTTCTAAAATTAAGTTTGGTAAATTTTAACACCAACTCATACAGATCTGATTGTTTCCTTGTAAATGATTATAAGAGCAATGCAGCAGCTGACACCATGATCTTTAACACATTTTTTTTCTTCCCATGAATTTCTGTGAGGTGTTTTTTTAGTATAGCTCTGAAGGAAGTTTAATGGAACCAGCATCCTGAGCGCTTGTCCTCTCTGGCAGAAGTTTTAGAGACTGTCATTAGCTGAAGTACCATAAGGACTTCCCCTTGGAACAAGCCACCTCATTGTCCTTCGTGCTATTAGTGAAGGTGTGAATGAGAAGCAGGAGCACTAACCCCATGTTTTCACATCAAGCTGACTCCCCACGTGCTACGGGTGATCAGGGTCATGACTTTTACGTACCTCGCTGTGAAATACTGTCTATAACACAGTTTGATTACTAAGTCTGCTGAAGTACACCAGAGACATCTAGAAGGATGGGGGACGGACTAAGCTAGCCACATAACAGCACTGAATTATGGCCATCATGGGGCACCAGCAAAGATGTCCAGAGCTTCCATTATGTTTTGTAATGGCAAAAAAATGGACTTTCACACTTATATGTGAACAGGAGTGTGGCTCTTAGGGGGAAAAAAACACTTTTAAAAAAGAGCAATTCTCCAAGTAGCTGGTGCAGAGTTTCCACAAACGATTCCAAGACAGTTGAGCAGACTCCTGAACCAGCTGTGGGGCCTGGGCCACTTTCTTCTGCCCTCAGCTTCCCTGTGCCCAGTTGGTCGTAAGGCCACCACCTTTCCAAATGTTGCCACAATGCTGCCATTGCTGGCTAAGAAAACCGTGGCTCATTAAACTTCCCAGGAAGAGCAATGAGAACTACGGCGGCAGGGAAAGAGGAAGAGCAGAATTGCAACAAGACAATCTCCTTCCCTGTTGTAAATGGGCTCAGCAAGCACTTAATGAGCCAGCCTCTTTCCTATGGTCATCACATGTAGTAACTGTTGACCTACACCATGGAGGACCAAGGCCATCCCAGGCGACAGGGCCAGCGGGTGGAGAAAAGGTGGGAGCGTACCTCAATTCCGACAGTGTGGTGAAGGATGCTGACCAAGAGGACGTGCTCCATCATCAGCCTGCTGGGCATGGCGGAGGCAGTGACGCAGGCACCCAGGAGGGCAGCCGTCAGTGTGTCATTCATGTCCTTCCTGCTATTGGCCATGTATAGCTCCTCCAGCTGCCCACTTATGGATGCCATGTTTGGCTCACTCAACCTGCAGGAATGTAAACACAGAAACACAATTAAATATAATTTTCCAGTTCAAACTCAGTTATCAATACTACCAATATATCCTACCTTACATATGCTTCTGACCCGGAAACAACTGACCCTGCTGCAATAACCCAGCATATTCTGCTCATAACCACAGAACACTATGGAGTTCTGAAATAATACAACTGTCTTTTCAGTTGAAATGTAACCAGTGAGGTATGCCATGGAAGGTCTGTGAGTCTGCAGAAATTGGGTATCCTGATCTGACATTCCCAGGTGTAGGAACCATCTAAGTAGTGTATCATTAGGAAAACCACCAATTCGCCCACTTCTTAGATGGCACACAGGCACGGTTTCTACACTGAAGAGGGTGCTCTGTCTGAATGAGTAGCGAGAGAGGACTGTGCAAGGAAGACTATTCACCACACACCTGTGCTACTATTAAAAGGGACATCACAACAGCATGCTTCAGTAAAACTTCTGGGACACTCCACTGACAATGTTTCAATTTCAATTAAGCAACATAGGGGAAGAGGCGGCACAAAGGACAGGTTCTGTATCCTGATTGTGGCAGTGGTCACCTAAATCTTCATGTAATAAACTACACAGAACCTCTTTCTCTTAAACAACACAAGCACATAAAAACAGTGAAACCTGAACAAGCTCTAGGAATTGTTACATCAGTTCCCTGATATGTGTGTGTGGTGCTGGGGATGGAATCCAGGCCTCATGAATACTAGGTTAGCACTCCACCACTAGCTGCACTCCCAGCCCCTGGTTGCTTCTCAATGGTACTCTAGCTATAGAAAATGTAACCTTTGGGAGAAAGCAGGTGTACAGCATGCAGGAATGCCCTGTACCCTATGAATCTACCAAAAAAAAAAAAAAAAAAAAGAGCAATATACATTTAAAAGAGTGACTGCCTTTTGAGGATTTAGAAGAGGGGCATGAGGGTCTTCTGGTGAGAGTTATGGGAGAACTGGAGGAGGGCATTAGTGCAAGAAGGACTTGAACTTGTTTCTTAAAACCACAGGCTGACTGTAGATGGTTTAGTGGTGTGGTCCCAGCTACATGGCTTCCAATTACCCTTTTAGAGTCTAAATGTCAACATAGGGGGATGAAGGACCAGCATCCTGACCAGGTGCACTCATTTCTGCAAGGGGGGATCCCTGCCAGACCTTCCTCCACTATTCCTGGGAGGATGTTCCCTGCCCCATCCCAGCCTCAGAGTGGCAGTAGGAGTCTCCTGCTGCCTTCAAACCCTGTAAGGACTCACCATACCAAACAGCTGGGCAACATCTCCTCAACATAAGGATGTGGTTGCCCTAAGGCAGACACAGAAAGGATCTGAAAACAGCTACAAGTCCTTCCCATCACTTGCATCTTGTCATTCTGGGACAGTTTCCGTGTTTTAGAAACAGAGCATTGCTCCAAGGGAGAGAGCGTAACAACTCTGGAAGGTCACCTGTTAATTAGGCCTTTGACGTGTTTCTTCAGCCTTTCTAACTCCTCCTTCTTGCGCTCGTCCACTGTCTCCTGGGCTGGCCGCAGCTGAGGTGGGATGTACTTTTCGCCACTTTCACAAAGCCTCTCCTTGAAAAAAGAGAATAATATAATCGCAAAAAAGAAAAAAAAAAGTACACTGGACAAACTTCACATTTCCCTTGCTATGTGCATATTCATACACAGAACTACCAACTCCGGCAGCTGTTTCTACTGACTGTTTAACCCACCGCGAGCGCCCCACTGCAGTGCACTGGCTCCGGGGCTGACGGCCATCCCCGGGACCAGGGAAGTTCCGCGGTACCTGCTGGGTCGTGCCGTCCGCCCCCGAAGAGCCTGCCCTCTCTTCTCCGTCTTCTGCGAAGCGGACTCTCTTCCTCCCGGCTTTCTCCSGCGCCCCGCCTTCGGGCTCTTCCCGGCTGTCCGGCTCGGGCTCCGCGGCGTCCTCGGCGTCGTCCGCACTCTGCGGCTCCGAGTCGCTGTCCAGGTCACTCTCGGGGAGCGGCGCGCCCGCCTCCTCCTCCYCCTCGTCGCCGCTGCTCTCGAGCAGCCCGCCGGCCCCCGACCCCAGCACGCCCAGGATGTAGTCCAGCCCGTCGCGCGCGAAGCCGGGCGGCACGGCGCTGCCCTCGGCCCTCTTCCTGCGCTTGCTCAGGCCCAGGCAGCGCTCCAGCTGGCGGATCTCTCGGTCCTCCTCCTCGTTGGCCGCGAGAAGCGCCCGCTTGCGGGCGGCGGCGGCGGCGGCGGCGGCGGCGGGGCTGGCCTTGCCCGGGCGAGCCGGGGCCTTGGCTGGGGCTGCGGCCTCGGGGACAGCCGTGGCCGCGGCCGGGGACGGCGCGGCCTTGTCGGGGGCCGAGGCCTGGGCCCGGGGCGGCGCGGACTCCCCCGCGCTGCCCTCCTGCTTCCCCGCCGCGGCGCCCGCGGTCCTCTGCAGGCGCCGCGCTTTCCTCAGTTGCCGCTTCTCCCTCCGCAGCTCCTTGCGGCTCTTCCTGCCGCACGGCCGGGAGCGCACCCCGGCGCCGCGCCCCTCGGCCTCTCCCCCGGAGGTGGCCCGCACGAACCCCTCCACGGCCACCCGCAGCCGCTGCAGAGCGCCCTCGCCGCCGCGCCCGCCGCCGCGCTTCTGACGAACTACTCGCCTTCGGCCGCCTCCCGAGCGGGCCGCTGTCGCGGTCACGGACGCCGCCATTTTCCGGGACGATCTCAGACCACAACTTCCGCCGCGGCGGGACTTCCGGGCGAGAGCGAGCGCGGGGCGTGGCGGGTGTCGCCCCCTGCCGGCCGGGGGGCCGCAGCAGCGGACACCAGAACATTGGGTTTCAAAGGGAACCTGTGAATTGTGTCAGGCCACACCCTCCCAGAGYTCGCGGCAGCTGCGGGTCGCGGGGCCGTGCGTGTTCGCGGTGGGGAAGGCCCCGGGCAGGTTCTCTGTGTCCCAGGGAGGAGCCGCGTACTCAGTCTTACAGCTCTGCCTTTTGCTCCCTGCGCTCTGCCTTGGGGCTCCTTAAGGACTCATTTTTCCTGAGAGTAGTGTAGTCCTGCTTAAGAGGATGCGACACATTTATTCAACGGTCCTCTGTTGGTAGTGCACTGAGATGAAATCAGTGTCCACCTGAAGCCTGTGATGTGCCCTTATGTGGACATCCGGTCTTTCCAGTTGTAGTCAAGTTTAGATGAGGGCATACTGATTTGGAGTGAGCCCTCAATCCAGGGACTGGGGCATCTTAGAAGAAAAGGGGCATTTGGACGCCCAGGGAGCTGGCCATGTGCCGGTGGAGATGGGGCTCGTGTGTCTGCCAGCCTCATGTCTCGTCCACAGCYCAGGTGTGGCAGGGCARTGGGAGGCCAACGTGCCAGAGGCAACCTGTGAGTCASATTTATTGGGGAGCACTTACTAGACATCAGTGACTGCCCCAAGAAGAGTTTGGTGGCAACAGGCTGAATGGAGCACATCTGTCCCTCGTGGTGTTTTGTCCAAGGACACCAGCAGGATGAGTGACACCTGTCCTCACCCAGTGCCTGCAGGTCTGCCCACTCACCACGGGGGAGGGCTGTCCTCAGGACATCAGCTTGCTTAGTCTGCTGGTGTGACCAGCATCCCGAGGAGCAGCTGTCCTGGGCAATGCAGGAAAGTGGCTTTCTCCAGGGGACACTGACCGGCCCTGGTTCCCACTGTGCAGGAGGAAAGCCAGTCCTTCAAGATGGTGTGTGTCCGACACTGCAGCTCAGCCTTGCCCTGTGTCCCTTGACTCGGCAGGTTTGGGGAGAAGAGAAAGGGGCGTCCAGGGACATGTCTTACTGTCACGACCCCCAGCCGGCAAAGGAAGACGCGACACAGGATTCTTCCTTCAGCAGTTTATTCAGGCCTTTATTTTGACATGTCTTCTAGCTTCTACTACTTCTACTCCTACTACCTCACCCGAGCGCCCCAGCCTTGATAAAGCACATCAAGCCCCAATGCACAACTGCCACGTGGACTTTTCTCATAGGGTGCCAAGTCACAGCGCGCCAACTCATTCTGATAAGGAGTTGTTTGCCACAGACTACAGAGGAAACCAGCGCCATCTTGTAATGTCGGCCACAGTTCACAGAAACGGCTCACCACATCTTACTGTTYCCCTTTTCTTTAGGGAGGCATGGAACAAATCCTGTCTGGGAGTCCCCAGAGGAAGCCAACCCTGCCATCCAATTTTGGATTTCTAGCCTCCAAATCTGAGAAATTTCCGTTGCTTCATACCATTCAGTTTGTGGTCCTTTGTTACCAGGTCTTTCRTACCGAGGTGTTAATGTGATCTAATGAACACATTTAGTGTGTGGCCAGTGTTTCTTTTCTTTCTTTCTTTTTTTGGTACCAGGGGTTGAACTCAGGGGTGCTAACCACTGCCCAACACCCTGCATCCCTTTTTATATTTTATTTTGAAACAGGGTCTTGCCAAGTTGCTCAGGACTTTGCTAAGTTGCTGAGGCTAGTTTTGAACTCAGGATTCTCCTGCCCAAGACCCTGGGATTGCCTGGCTCCAGTGTCTCTGTATAACACGCTGCTTCACGGAGCCTTCTGGTCTGAGGGTCTTCCTGGGGAAGTGGGATTGCTGGCTTGGGGTGTCCAGCCTTACAGGTCTGTTTCCTCCCAGGGTGTCTGTACAACTTCAGAATCAGTTTGAGAACTTCCATGTCTCTTCCATGATATTTTTAAAAAGTCTTAAATTTTTGCCCACTTCTGTCAAACTGGTATCTCATTATTTTAATTCCTTCTGTGAGTGTTGTTTTATATGTGCCTTGACAATTCACGTTTTCTCTCTGGCTTATAACCTTTGCCATATGTTATGAACATGAGTTCCTTAGAGATYTTAGGATTTTTTTGAAAAACATTTTTAATTGTAGTTGGACACAACACCTTTATTTATTTATTTCTATGTGGTGCTGAGGATTGAACCCAGTGCCTCCATGTACTAGGCAAGTGCTCTAGCACTGGGATACAACCCCAGCCCTTGACATCTTAGGAATTTTTACAAGGAAAAAATTTGAACAATCCTTTGTCTCTCCTATGTGTGAATATTTTCCTCCTTCAAATATTCAAGATACTTTAAAACATAAATCACTTAATTTTAATAGACAATGCACTCTAAGTACAGAGTAAAAATTTAAGAGGTGCAAAAAGATATGAATAAGAGTCCTTCTCCTCCTGTTCCTGCTGCTGAGCACCCAGCTGAGAACCAGCTCTCCTCCAGGAAGCAGTAACCTGTGCCCTGAGTCATCTTGCAAGTGGCCCTCGGGGCACATGTGCTGCCTTTCCCGACAGCCCACTGAAGACYGCTCTGCATGGTTGCTTTGTTTCACTGTCCAGTGTGCCTGGGAGACCCCCCTCCAGCAGAGGCCACCAGAGCCCTCCTGGCCATCCCCTGGGCCATTGCAAAGGCTTCTGGTCTCCCTGCTCAGCCCCCTGCTTCAGTCTTAGCACAGCAGCCACAGTGACACTTTTTAAAAAGCATTTTGGTTACATAAGATTGTATTTTTAAAAATTTTTTATTTGTTCTGCTTAGTTGTACATGGCAGCAGAATGCATTTCAATTCATCGTACGCAAATGGAGCACAACCTTTCAGTTCTCTGGTTGTACATGATGTAGAGACACACCATTCGTGCAATCATATGTGTACTTAGGATGTGCATCTCATCCCACCATCTTTCCTATCCATGTGACCCCTCCCCCCCTCCCCTTTGCCCAATCCAGGGTCCCTGCATTCTTCCCGAGTCCTCCCCCCATCATAGCTCAGGATCCACTAATCAGAGAAAACATTCGACCTTTAGTTTTTGGGGATTGGCTTACTTTGCTTAGCATAATATTCTCCAACTCCATCCATTTACCTGCAAATGCCATGATTTTATTCTCTCTTTTTAAAATTATTTTTTAAATATTGATAGACCTTTATTTTTATTCATTTATTTATACGTGGTGCTTAGAATTGAACCCAGTGCCTCACACATGCTAGGCAAGTGCGCTACCACTGAGCCCCAGCCCAGCCCTTTATTCTCTTTTAATGCCGATTAATATTCCATTGTGTATATACCACAGTTTCTTTATCCACTCATCTATTCATGGGCATCCAGGTTGGTTCCACAGTTTAGCTATTGTGAATTCAGCTGCTATAAACATTGGTGTGGCTGGTCGCGATAGTATGCTGATTTTAAGTCCTTTGGCTATAGACTCTGGAGTGAGATAGCTGGGTCAAATGGTGGTTCTAATCCAAGTTTTCTGAGGAATCACCCCAGGCTGCACCATTTTGCAGTCCCACCAGCAATGTCTGAGTGTGCCTTTTCCCCACATCCTCACCAACACTCCACAGTGACACTTTTAAAATACAAAAWTAGCATCGCTCGGCAGCAGCACTCCAATCCCCAGCGGTTCATCAGCCCAGGCTCTGCCTGCCCATCTGCCTTCACTCCCTCCCTTCCTCCCAGGTCTGCCCTGCTCTCCTCCCAGCTCCTGGGTCCCTGGTCCCTCTCCGTCAGTGTCCTCCCTGAGCTACCCTGACTCCCCGTTCAGACCTGCTTGTGCACCTCACTGGCTGCTGTCTGCTCCCTCGACCTCACGGGCCCCTCCCCCCCCCAGCATGGGTTCTTGTCCTGTGGTCTGTCTCCAGGCCTGAGAGAGCCTGGCACCAAAGGACACTTGGTAAGTGGACGATGGGAAACGATGCTTGGCTGCTTTTTACTGACTGCAGTCTTTTCTTTCCCTTCCTCTCTGACCTCGTTCCTTTCCTTTCTTCCTTCCATCTTCCCCTCCCAGGCTGGTCCTGGACTAAAGTGATCCACTGCCTCAGTCTTCTGAGTGAAAGACCCCYGATTCCCTGTCCAAGGAGAATCACACGAAACACTGGCTGCAAAAAGCAAGAGGGATTTATTGGGACACAGGCGCCTGAGGGTGCCCAGCAGAACCTCAGCCGGAGCTTTGGTGAGCTGGCACACCGGGCTTGGGGGATACAGAGATTTTTATAGGGTAAAGGGGCAGTCTTCACACGGGGGAAACAATAGGTTTCTTATTRGTTAATTTTAAACCCAGCATATAGRYTACCTAAAGGGCAAAGTTGTTTTTCACTTTATGTTACTGGAAAAGCCACATAAAAGTTACATGTTAGCACTCTGGTCCTCCTGTTGCTGCTCATTCAGGCATGCCTTAGGACCTGGTCCTTTGTGCTTTCTCAACCGGTTACACCTAACTGATTGTCTGAAAAACACCTCTGGTGCCTGCGTAGGTTTGTGACATGCCTCGGTGGTTTTGCAACTAGGCCTGAGGTTGTTGGGCTGGGGTCTTTCATGAGGACCATGAACCACAGCCTGGGCCCCCGTGGCATTATGGTTCCCACATACTCATATTAAAAATGATGCAACAGTGAGTATCTTTGAATACACAGCAGCCTACATTCGTCAGAGTAGAATTTGAGAGCTATATTTTGAGATGCATGGTTTCTGAATTGAAGGGTGTGTATTTTGCAAGTTTGATAGACATTGCTGAAGGGTTATTCGTAGAGGTTGAATCAGTGAATGTCCATTGCCACTTTGGTGGAAGAATAATGACCACATTGATTTTTTTAAGCTACTGGGGATTCAACCCAGGGGTGCTCCACCACTGAGCTCCATTCTCCGCCCCCAGGATTTTCTCAGATTTTGAGATGGGATCTTGAAGTTTCTGAGGCTGGTCTCAAACTTGTAGTCCTCCGCCTCAGGCTCACCTTCCTCCAGAGCCATGTCACCTTCATCTAAAACAGCTCACAGAACAGCTGCAGGAGTGTGCCAGAGGCGGAGGTCCTGAGGCTCTTCCCCTTCCCTGTCCCCAGGTGGGAAACAGCAGGGGGGAGAGTGGGGGGAGCAGCGTCTCAGCCAGGGGTGGGTGGCTCTGAGAGAGGGCAGCACCCAGCCCCATCCCAACTCCAGTTGMACTTACATGGAAGCCAAAAGGGGAGGGAGAAGAAAAGGTGCCCACCCTCCTTCCCAGCAGAGTCCTGAGCAGGGGGGTCTGGGCAGGCGAAGAGAAGGGATCTTGATTCGCATGTGACTGGACCTTGCCCGCAAGGCTGTTCCTGAAGCTGAGGAGCAGGGAGCTGAGGTTCCTGTGGCACTGTCCAGAGAGGGAGGGAAGTGTGCATGGACGTTTCCAGGTGCCAGAGAAGTGGCTTTGTTTCCCACTTGCCCCTCCACCATGCCCCCGCCCCCCGCCCCCCCATTCAAAGTAGGGGTAGGAGCTCCTCCCGGGGCTCCAAGTGCCTTCTCTCCTGATGTCCACATCAAGGCCTGCAGCCCGCACCTCCTCTGACCACATTCTGCTCTTCTGGGTCAAGAGCAGACCTTGAGAGTGGAAATGAGACACGGTGACCCCTGCATCTAGCAGGTTGGCACAGGCTGCCTTCTACACACATCATGTGATCTGTCTCCATGGCCATCTTTCTAGAATGTGCTGTGCCCGCCTTCCAGCCTTCCTGTTCGCAGAGGGCCGTGACATGCCACAAGGCATGGCCCAAGTTGCTGCGCTGTGGGAAGGGACGGCGGCGAATCTGCGCAGCGCCCTCTGGGTCTCGCCTGCCCTTCCAGTGTCAGGTCCAGGTGGCGGCCCAGCGTGGCCCTGCTGTCTGCAGGATCAAAGCACACGTGGGCTCCTGGCGCCTCCCCAGGCTGCGCCACCTGGAAGTCAGGGCCTCAGAGGAGGTCCCCCAGACTGCTCAGGACCAGGTCCTTCAGGAATCTGTGATGGATGGCATGTGGGGGGAGCAGTATTCAGGGCTCAGAAGTGACCAGGGAAGAGAGCTGCAGGCAGGAGACCACCAGGGGTGCACTCTCAGAGCAGGCTGGGGCTCTGCCACTTCCTAGGTCACTCACGCCCTGTCACATCCATTTCTCAGAACCCAAGAAACAAAGCCCCCAATGCTCCACCCTGGGACATAAGCCAGCCCCCACCCCCTGCAGAGGCTCCCCAGCTTGGCCCCTTCTGGTCCCCTCCCCCCTGTTTCCC